TAACTTACTCAAACCCGCAAGGAGGTATGCACTATTAAACAAGATTTTTCAGATAAATATTAGCTGGTTGAAACATCAGCACATGGAAGTCTGAGCTGCTCATCAGTCATCTTACTGTGCACTGACTTCATTTTCAAGCAATTCATGTTGTCTTATAGCAAGACTGTCAGTCTGAAAAAGCAGAAACAAACTACACTATACCAACTCTAACACTTAGAAATCACTAGACAAAAAATTTACAACAGACAGAGATACAGCAGACCTAGTCTTCTTTGGAAAGTTGTTACACCCTCAGAAATATGCAAACTGAGCACATAAAGTTTTCTAGAGGGCACAGACGGTGCTTACATTTAAATAATTAGCAAACGGAGATCTCACGTGTACCAACCACACTGTCACGTCTGGATTGCCGAGGACTGAGGAGAAAATGGGAGAGTGCCCTCAGGCCCTGCGCAGGATCAACACTTTCCTCATACATCAGCACGACGGACAGCAGTCATGACACAAAGGGCCAGATTTAATCACTTCGGAAATGCGTGTGTATGTGTGTTCTTTATCAGACAGGTGCGCTGGCCTGGAAGTGCAGTTGTCATATGATGTGCGTCTTGTGTGAAATAAGTGAAGTGTGCCTCTCTGTCCACTGAGGTAAGATTGCAGATATGACATTGTAGTATATTTACGTGTTTATGTGTCTTGTGAGTGTATGGAAAATTCTCTGACTGTAAAAAGCAGGTGCGGTTTTGTGAGTGTATATTAAGATTGTAGCATGGAAACTGAATTAACAGCTTCTTTGAATACAAAATGCAGCGATAATATTCATTTTTAAACAAACTCATTGTCTGACTAAACATAGGACAGAGAATTGTGCCTCTGTCATTAATGTAAAACTAGAATATATTCTTGGCATCCACCAAGCTGCTGTGGAACTACTGTATGTTGATTGCACTCTTTTGAATCTTGCAGTGTTTTGCTGCAATTATCTTGGGGGTCCAGGGAGACATCAGTTGTACCAGTGCCATCTACATCCTTTAGCATCTTTTTACGTCAGTTCATGTCTATACTCCACCTACTATGTAAGTGTATCACTGTTAGTTTAAGCCTTGCTCATTACCTATAGCACATACAGTTTTGGACATTAAATATCCTTTTCCACTGACACGTATTCTCAGTGTAGTTTATGGTGTATGTTATTTCACCAAGACAAGGCATACACATATGCAAGGATAATAAAATGTCTTCCACTGTGTTGTTTTATACTGAGTCTGGGCCAAAAAGCAGGCATATTGTTTGTCTTTGTGTTGGGAAGAAGTAATTTAGCCTCTGGCAGGAGCCGTCAAGAGACAAAACGAAATACATGGATGGCTTAGACAGTGTGCAAAGTCCATGCAAGATTGCACAAGCAAAGAAAAAGTTTAAAAAAGAAAGAGAGAAGCTGAGCATTCACCCTCTGATATTGTGAGAAGGGGGTTGCCAACCTGTCATCTACTACCTAACACCTATAATAACCGTGACAGCAGGGTCTAGGACACTGTCAGTTTGTTGTTGTTGTTGTTCTGGATCAAAACACAGACTCTACAGTACTTGAGACACCAGATTTATTGAAATCTTCTGCAAAGCCAAAGAAATAATCTATAGATGACGGTTAATCACTTGATTACATACTGAACCAACCAGTAACATTATTTAGCTTTCAATACAGGCCTGTAAAGGACACTGTTGATTGATGTCTGAGGTGAGGGCACATGGGTTTACCAAAACCAATTTAAGACACTGTGACTATAATGAAGTAATCCCTTATGACGATCACTCAACACAACTGATGCTTAAAAACATTTAGCTTCATGTTTGTTTGTCTCCAGGATTAACTACCAAAGCAGAACCGGCAGCTCTCATTTTAACATTTGGGTTATTTCTTAATATAACATCTTTTGTAGTACATGCCTTTAGTTCCCTCTGCCCCTTTCCTGTCTGTCTGACGTGTCATTCACAGGCTGCATGTCATTTATGATGCTGAAGTATCACCTTCTTTCCTTCTTTCTTTTTTTCTGTTTCACCACCTTGCACACAAATACACAAGCACACAAACACTCTGGTTGGTTGCAACACACATGCAATGGCACAATGCACTTAGAACCAAAACATTGTTACACCAGATTGCACTGCACTGCCTTGGAGTTCACTGCAGGCTTGTTTTTCGGTTACCAGGACCACACACTGTATAAGACTGATCTGTAACTCCAAATGAATCTGAGAATTTACAGTTCCCACTGAAAGACACCAACACTGGTGATTAGGAAAAATATCCCAAAGTTCACCACCCTGTCACACATTTTACATTTCTACTTCCCCCTCTCTCTGTAAATACTAGAACACTTTTCCTGACCGCAGGCCAGAGTCACAGCTGTTCATATGAAGAGCTTGTGACATTTTGTCTTGCCCCCAAACCACACGCTAACAGATTTTCTACTCTTTTGTCTGTGGCTCTTTAGATCTCTTACCAGTTCATCACACAGCACTAAATGTCCGTTATCACTGGATTGACTGTGGCTCATTGTTTCTCTTAGTCATAGAACAGCAAAAATGACTCTTGTGAAAGCTATTCAGCCTGCTCATTTCACCAGTACACAATAGTCCTGTAGTAATTATTGGCAGGACGTTTAAGGGAAACAGACGATGGCCTGATGTTTGATGAGACTGATCAAATCAGTGACTGCAGAATATCACGGATAATTTTACTCTTGTCAAAAAGCACCAATGAACCTGTCCCTGTTTTCATTTTTACATCATCTGTGAAGATTAACATTTTGATCACGTTTGATTGTTGTGTCAGCCATGGTACGCTTACATTTACAAGGAGATTTATTTTGTTTTACTTATATGGTAGCACACAATTCATCTCTTTTCCTGATGTGAATTTACTGAAGTGCTTCTAACAACCCTCAGATGAGATGAGATGGAGGACACTGCTTGGTCAATGCCGTATTGACATGTATGTTGCCTCTGTGATTGACTGTCATATATAAAGTGTTCCTTTGCTTGCTGTGTGATTCTCTGGAGCACCATATTGAACTGTAAACATAACTGATTCTGTTGACATTATAAGGTCACAGCCCGCTAATTATTCTAATGCTAAACGTTCTGCTTGAAAAGTCTCAAACATAGGCTGGATCTGGATTTATACGTTTTTACTCCCAGGACCATGTCTCTGAAATCAGATGATTATGCTGTCATTTTGCAACCCACAGGTCAAATCCACAGACTTTTGACTATTTTATGGATAGGGGAAATTCTACAAATACTGTGGGTTACATTCAAACAAACGTTGTTCATTATGTGATGTACTTCGTGATACTGTGACCTGTGTTCAAGTAAATGAATAAAAACAATTATTTAACTGCAGTTGGTGATTAAAGGGAGGAATAAAACAAATTGGCTCACAACTATTTTATGCAGTGCTCAAAATGAGACCACAGATACCTGAGAGTGGATGAGATAGGGAGTGTGTTTCTGTGCTCCCTTGCCTCAGGCTTGTTAAATTGGCAGATCGATGATGCTTTAAATCAATGTTCCAGCAACACCGCAAACCCCATGGAACCCATTAGTGGATTAAGATAGACCACTCTTCCACAGAGTCCTGTTCTGCCTGCAGGTCCTTTCCACATGACAAATGGGAGGTGTGTGAAATGAAAACTGTGAAATAAAACAAAGGGAAAAGGACAAACGAGAGGGTGAAAACAGAAGCTGTTGCAGAGGAAAGGTCGGGTCAGCGCTGCCAGTAAGGACATACCTGTAGCTCTTCGTTGAGGGACTCTCTTACTCAAGATTTCTTTTACTGTGTTTTAAATAGGGGTCTTATATTGAATCAACCAACACACTATTATTTCCCAAGCACAGGAGAGCATCCAGCCAGCCATGAAAAACATGCTCTACATGCAAAGTAGCCTGTCTCAGCCAGTAAACTGAAAAAAGGAACAGAGTAAGAAGGGATGTAGGAGAGCAGATGAGAAAGAGGGGGTGTGGAAAGAGGAGGCCGGAGGAGCTGGTCTTTCTCTGATAGCATTGTTTATGTGCCACTGTCTGTGGATCATTGATCCATTCATCTCCATTACGTCCTCCTGTGAGAACTATTAACTGCTGCCACCCTCAGTTGGGTGCCTGCTGTGTTGACACGCACTGCACGGTCTCTCTACCAGCCCACCAATGTCCCTGCCACCTCACCTCTTGGAGGTATAGAAGCTGACAATTTTGTACTGCTTGGGGGGGGGGGACAAGATAGAGGCTTTTCAACTGGCCTTTACTGGATTTGTACAGGCGTTCACAAGGTGGGTTGCAGGTACAGGTAGATCTTACTACTATAGGCATGTATGTCACTGCCATCTTAACAGTACAGGTGTGGTTGGTTTCCGTATATGTTTCCACTTGATTTATCCTGTCTTAAGCTTCGTTCTGACCCATATAATGTATGTTGTGTAACAATGAAATAAACATCCGCCCACCAATGCATATGAAAAGCACGGTTACATCTTAACAGAAATCAGCATAGCACATGAACTGTAAGCACAGTCAGGAAATAAATCCCCATTGGCCTGTTAAAATGTGTAGACTGTTCAGGGATCCTCTGCTGAGTCCCTGGTTAATGCGCTCATACCTGCAAATGTCCCCCAAGAGACCTCCTGCTCCAATTCCTCTCTGAACTGTTTTGTCTATGTGAGGCATTTTGTTGTCCAACTGCCTAAGCCCAGTGAGACATCATGGGTCATCAGCAGCAGCTTGAACTGCATCCTATGACTCCAATCAGCTGCCAAGATCACTTTCACCTCGCTGTGTCAACTCAAAGCTTCTCTTCACTTGTGAAATCTGACAAGTTTGACTTGTACTTGTTGTACAGTGCTCTTTTTGAGTAAACAAGCTGACTGACAACTGCTTGATCTTTCTCTGTCCCCTGTCTGTCTTTCTCTCCCTCTTCTCCTTTCTATGTCTCTTTTCTATTTTCTTTATAGAATCAACCACGGAATCTGGCCGTCATCCTCATCACTGCCTCGTTTGAGCCAGAGGAAAAGGAAAGACAGAGCATGGTCTGGTGTGGTGGCCACTGTTGCTATGTGTGAAGGAGTGCTGTGCCGTCAATGGAGACCGAAGGCTATCGTGACGTCCTGGAGACCAGCGATGGTCACGGGGTAGGCCTGCTGGATGGAGGGGGCGAGGTGGGGGTGGAAGAGGGATGGAGCACACCATACCCTCTGGGCTTCCAGGTGTCTTTGACCACTGTGCTGATCCTGGAGCTGGTGTTGGGCTTCAGCAGCAACCTGACTGTACTTGTGCTCTACTGTGCTCAGAGCAACCTGGTGGATTCAGTCAGCAACCTGGTCACAGTCAACCTCCATGTGCTGGACATACTGGTCTGTGTGCTGTGTCTGCCACTGACTGTGGCTGTGATCCTGTTACCAGCTAATGGAAATGGAGTCGGCAGCCTGGCCACGCTGTGCTGCTTTCATGAGGCTTGTGTCACATTCACCAGTGTGGCCACAGCAGTCAACGTGCTGGTGATCAGCCTGGACCGATACGACATCTCAGTACGTCCCGCCAGTCGTCTGCTGACCCCCAGGCGTGCAGCATTGCTCCTGGCAGCAGTGTGGGCCGTGTCTCTGGCTGTCTTCTTCCTGCCCTTCCTTGAGGGGGACTTCTTCTCTTTGAAGGCTGAGGGTGGTGAGGATGAGGAGCCGGAAGGGCACAGCAATGACTCTGAGCTCACCACTGGGCTGACCCCCATTTCCCCCACCATCTCTCCTTCCTCTTTACCCTCAACTCATCCTTCCTCCCCTTCAATGCACCTGCCTCCTGTATGGCAGAACAGGACACTGCTGTGTGTAGGAGGGCAGGGGTATTACACAGGCATGGCTATGTATTACCACTTGTTACTTCAAGTGCCGTGCTTCTTCATCGCTGTGGTTGTCATGTTGTTCACCTACTCCAGGATCCTGCAGGCCCTCAACATTCGCATTGGCTCCCACATGATGAGGAGTACGCGTGCGAAGGACTCCGGCTGTAGGATACGCTGCAGGAGGCAGAGGAGGAAGGAACTGAACCTGCCCACAGAGGTAGTGTCCTCCAACCAGAACCAGAACCTCAACCATCCCCCTCTCATCCCCTCTCCCACCCCTACACCAACATCGCCCCCACCACTCTCCTCCATGCCCCAGGGGATGTCTGACAGTGGAGCAACAGTCACTACTGTCAGTACTGCTGCCACCACTCCCATCGCCACCACACCAGCCACCCCAGCTTCACCAACCCCAGCTTCAGCCTCAACCCAGACCCACGCCACCTCACCACTGCCTGCCTCCTCCATGGGTGTACAGGCCTCAGTGTCTGCCATCATCGCCTTGAGGCGGGCAGTGCGCAGGCACAGGGACCGCCGAGAGCGTCAACGTCGAGTCCTTAAAATGTCCCTAATCATCATATCCACCTTCCTGGGCTGCTGGGCCCCTCTGTCTGCAGTCAATGTTCTGATCCTGTGTCTGGGTCCCAGCGACGGCCTGGTGCGGTTACGTCTCTGCTTCTTGGCTATGGCTTATGGAACCACCATTTTTCATCCTCTGCTCTACGCTTTCACCAGGCAGAAGCTGCGCCGTGCCCTCAAAACACGTGTCAAGAAAAGGGTAGTGTCCCTTCTGCAAGTGGACCCAGCTCCCAGCGGGGGGACAGTTATTCATAACTCCTGGGTGGAAGGTGGAGGCCAGAGGAAGAGTCGCAAGCCACGGGTGGAGGCCAGTGATGGCACTGATCGATGTCTCACAGAGGCAGTGAGGGAATAAGGCTGGAGTGTTTGCATGTCTGGGTGTGTGTGTGTGTGTGTGTGTGTGTGTGTGTGTGTGTGTGTGTGTGTGTGAATTTGAAGAATTGTATGTATTTTCCCTATTTGAGGTGGATTGTGTGTATATTCATGCATGGGTGTGGAAAAAAATGAGAACCAGTTAGTTTACAAGGATCGGACAAATCCCATGACCTCTGGTCCCACGTACAGTATATGTGGACGCTTTCTACTGTCCCTACACAGGCCTTCATTAATCCACTTCCTGACTGACAAGGTGGCCACTGTGTCTCCATGGCAGTACTGGCCAAGCATTATGTCAACACACAAGTAGGGTAAAAGTTAGATAACAGCAAATGTATACATTATTCCTCCTGAGTGCACTTTCATCTTGCATGTGCATGTACAAATGCACACATAGACAGACAGACACACACGCACACAATGCACATTGATCTATATTTAGTCATTATCTGTGAAAGCACACTATTATCTACCTGCACAGATTTTCTCAGTGGGAAAAATGTTAATGGAAGTCTATGTTTTTCTTTCTTTCCTTTATTTTTTCATGCCTTAATTGAGTTATTAATATATTCTCATGGTGCTGAATGTCCTACTGTATGTTTACAACAATGTATCAGAGTGACAGGGTTCGCACATACTGTATGTGGTATAGCAAATTAACGGCGGGTAAATGCAAGCATTCAGATTCAAAGTTTACAGGCTCATATGAATTTACCAGGAAACTGCAAAAAAAAAATCCATTTTAATTCCAGTAAGCACCCTATTTCTCTATGTGTGCAAGTTAAAGCTAAAAAGGCATGACTTTATTTTTTTTCTAATAAACTTTACAAGTAACAGTCATGATGAGGGCAAGGATGAGCGATTGTGTTCGTATGTTTGCATGTGTGCATGTATGCGTAAATGAATAAACAAGCGTGTGTGTCCATGATGATGTGCAATAAATCATGAGCAAAGCAATGACCCCTAGGATGTGAACAAAGAAAATGTGAACACAGAATTGTTGGTTTTCTATGGACAGTTTAGATTACAGGGGGAAGAGAGAAGAAAGGGGACTTATTCTCTTTAACAGCAGGACACCACAAGGAATAATACAAAAGTAAATTACGTGGATCAATTGTATCTGTGGAGAATCAAAGGGCAACATTTTGTGAAAACTTTATTAAAATTGTGGGTAAAATTTCATCTTAAACCACAGGAATCCCAACTTCTGACATAGGACATCTCATGTTAGGTGTTTGTTGCTCCGGAGGGCCGAGTCACTACTTTTGGACAGCACTTTCAATGACTGCGGAGGCAGGCAGGCTTTTGTCAGCTTCTGGACAGAGTCCTGGACATTTCTTTCTCCTCAGGGCTTTGTGTCTCATTTCCAAACGTTCTGGATGTAAAACAATAAACCAGCCCTCAATCAGCTGTTGTATTATGGGTGTTACAGTAGGCAAAGATTTATGTCCATAAGTAGATAGAGTACACTTTAGACTTTGTCCGGGCTCAAGTCTTGGAGAGCTTTTAGGGCTTTGGGCTATCTCCTTCATCCTCACCCCTTTTACACTATTTGTGAGCCAGAAAGAAGACAATAATTCTTGTGTATTCATGTACATTTTTCAGGGATGTAAATATTGAAGTGTCTGTTTTGGGTTTTATTCAAAATAATTGTTTTTTTTTTGGTCACAATCATCTGCCGGACAGAAAATCAGTCATTGTGATAAACTCTGAACGAGTTGGACAGTTAATGTAAAGAGAAGTAAGTGTATTTGTGTTAATACTGTATGTGTGTACACTGTACTGTACATTTATGACCTTGTGTATAGAGAAATATTAGTATTGTATAAGATTTATATTATGTGTTATTATATAGAACAGAATCTGTATTAAAAAGGTGATCTATCAAAGAAGTTCACTGTGTCAGTTCATACACCTTTCATGTTCAGTGTACTGGTTGCTGTCAAATGTTGATTATTACTTATCAGGAAACTTAATTATACAGGAAAATATATTTTGTACATAGCTGTGTAGATGCATTTTATCTGCTATAATACTGGAAAGAAGAAAAATATGAATATGGGTGTCTTCTGTTTTCATGACCTTTCAGATGCTCAACAGAATGGAAATGAAAAAGAGAACAAAAGCAATACAGAAGAAGAAATTATATAGATTTACAAGAAATTGCTCATTCTTTTTCAATTTAATAACCTGGATATTTTCTTAACATGTAACAATGACTGACTTAATAATCCAAATCATTTGCAGTATAATTTTACAGAAAAGAGCCGACTGAAAGGGCAAAGAACTTTTTGTATATAATGATTATAATGATGTCTCTGATCATTAAACAATTTAAGAATTCGCAAGAATCTGATCTGTAAATGGATTAATTAAATATGATAATTATCTCACTCTCAAATAGAAATACATCACAAATAGAGCTGTATTTCTACAGTCATAACAGGGAACTGCTTGGATTCATCCTACTCTGTGTAACGTGGGAATTCCTCCATCCCTCTTCCTCTGGACCTCACTGTCCAGATCTGTCTCTCTTTTTTCCAGCTGTCCCTCTCTTTCTACATCTCCTGTTTCCACTCCCCGTTTCTCTGATCCCTAAATTTAGAAACTCTGTCCCAGATACTTGCAGTATTTAGTGCTGACTGTACCGAACCCTCACTGTGATGTGTCAACTGTGCTAATCACCAGTACTAATGAACATCAAAACTTGTTAGTCAGGTAAACATCTGTCGAGGCGACTCAATTTCTTGATGTTGACACCTCATTTTTTATTTTACTAGAACAAATCTGCTGCTCATGCGGTGTGCGTGAGTGTTTGTCACCTTACTGATTTGTGCAGTGAAGCAACACTGTAGATTCCTTCATCCTGCTTGATAATCTCATCAGTCTCCCCCTCTTTCACACCCCCATTTCCTCCCTTGGTTCTCCTTCTCTTTATTCCGCCAGCCTGAATCTCTGTCATCTCTTATCCACACTCAGGCCTTCCAGAACAAAGCGAGGAACAGCTGCAATGTCTGTGAAGGAAGGAAAGTCACCTTGGGGGATGACAGAGGAACAAAAACGTGAGAGAGAGAGAGAGAGAGAGAGAGAGAGAGAGAATGAGAGGCAGTATGGAGGGAAGATTAGGGGGGAAAAAGAGAAGGGAGGCATGGAAGCTGGCATGGTGACATTATATGACTAATAAAGGGACAGCACTGCATCACTGCAGAGCCACGTTAGGAAAAAAAAGAAAAACAAACACTAAGAATAAGAATAATAAGATTAGCAAGCTCTACTGTTTTCTATCACTGTTGGCCCAGTAGAGTCTTACACTGTTGCCCCTGCCTATCTATCATACTCTGAAAATGTCCTTACATTTGGGTGTCATCCAAAAAACACACAAAAAGTCAGAATAGTCAAGCAATAAAGAACAATAGACCGACAGTGCTTTGACATGACTTAATGCATCTGCTTGTCCCAGTTGTCGCAGAGGCCTTCTGATTTGAGCAATATTTAATAGATTGTAATGTTATCTGATGCTGAGATGCTCAGTTGATACAGTTGTGATGTGTTAAAGGAGCATGCTGAATGGTTACAGACCTGAAAAACACAAAGAACAGAAAGGTAATTCAATATAGGTACATTTATTAGTATGTCAAAAATATGAAACACTGGATCTGCTAGCACGTCAATATTCTAAAATACACTGCACTGATGGTGCATGTGTTCTATATCTGTTAGTCTACATTATAGTAATGGGCAAAATGATAAAAAAAAAATGTGTTCAGTATATTTACTTTTTCTATAAAGTGTTCTGATTTTGTTAGTTTGGACAAACAAATAGTGAGTAATAAAACAATGTCTTAATTTCATATAAATTCAACCACTAGCAACACAATTTATTTAAATGCAAAATGATTGAGATAGAGGCTTGATAATACATCACAATAAAAAAGCTATGGCAAGTTGGAAACAGGAAATGACACATAAAGAAAATGGATGGTAAAAGTCAGAAATTTTAGTTTTAAACAAGCCTTATTTACCATTGTTATTTTCAGAGGTCCACAGTGACTAAAATATCAACCAGCGTTTAATGTTCACTAATGGCGCCATCTTGTGTTTAAACGTAATTGGTGACCATAGTTGGCGACTAACGTAATATGGCTGAACACAGCTAAATGTAGTTAGATGGTACGTTAAGAGTTTGTATTTCTCCACTGGTGTTCCTGTTAGTTACCGATATCGCTATTCTTTCATTTATCCCGCTTGTTCTTCTAAAGACAGGTCCTGCTGGCTCATCACTCTGCAGTCTTTCCAGAGCGGTGGAGCTAGCCTGCTCGGTACGGCTATATTGACGTTAGCTGTCAGTGATAACATACATTCATGGTTACACAAAGGCTTGATACATGTACGGTATGTAATTGTGTGTTTCTACATATATGAGTAAATATATATTTGAATGTGTTGACCAGACGCCTTTGTACGTGCCGAAATAGCTCAGTTGGGAGAGCGTTAGACTGAAGATCTAAAGGTCCCTGGTTCGATCCCGGGTTTCGGCAGCGGATTGGTATCTCTTTTTGTACGCTGCTTCAAAACACGGTTAGCTAATAGAAATGCCATTAGGCAATCACCAAAAAACATGTTAGACTTTTGATAAAAGATGGAAAGCAAGAGGAAAAGCATATAACATTACAACAATGGGAAATTAATCCACAGGGGGGAAAATCCCTTAATGTTTTACCCTAGTTAAAGTAACTTACTATTAGCAGCGAAATGTACTAAAGCTAAAGTTCAAAATTAAATATTAATATTATTATTGTTAAGAGGAATGGTTATATTTAGAATGTTCAATTATGTAACATTGTGTATTAGCTATTGTTTGGCATTTTAATATAACGTTACATTCACCAGAAAGAGTTAAATGTGACAATCCTAATTTTACTCCTCCAACAAACACTGCTGTGTAAAACTTTCAGTGTTAGATTTTTGTTGAGAATTTTATAAATTGATGTAACCTAATTCTGTTGTTATTTTAGAAGCAAGCAAAATTTGTATAGGTGAATTAACAGAGCCAACAAATTACAGAAATTGTAAAATAACGTGGTTCAGTAAGTATGAAGCAGAAAATAGTAACGCAGTAGTAATGTAACAGTACCTCATGCATGTATTTAAATAAACCCTAATTTACTTGCCTCCTCTGTCAAATACTTGGGTTTATAGTTCACTGGTTCTGTGTACAGTGTATAAAGGTTGACTACAATTCATTAGTTGCATACCAAGCATGGATATACAGTGCATCATCTACTGAGTGCTCACAACCAAAAGGAAACAAGTTCACATAGATTTTCACCAGGGGGCGATGTTGTCCACTAAATCATTCATCTCAGAACAGCTGGGTTAACTACTCCAATCAGCCCTGACCTGTGGAGCCATGGACTCCACTAGACCTCTGAAGGTGTGCTGTGGTATCAGGCACTAAGATGTTAGCCGCAGATCTTTTAAGTCCTGTGAGGTGGGGCCTCCATGGATCAGACTTGGTTTTTCCACCACATCCCACAGAAGCTCATTTGGATTGAGATTTGTGGAATTTGGAGGCCAAGTCAACAGCTTGAATTCGTTGTTGTGTTCCTCAAACCATTCCTGAACTTTTTTTTGCTTTGTGACAGGGCGCATTATTCTGCTGAAAGAGGTCACTTCCATCAGGGAATCCCGTTTCCATGAATGGGTGTAAATCAAAGGAACATCCACATGAATGGCTGGAACCATGGTAGAACATTGCCTAAAGCATCACACTGCCCTCTTCCCATAATGCATCATGGTGCCATGTGTTCCCATCGTTGTCATGTAAAAGAAAACCTGATTCATCAGATCAGCCCACCTTCTTCCATTGCTCTGTTGTCTAGTTCTGATGCTCATGTGCCCATTGTAAGCTCTTTTGGCAGTGGACAGCAGTCAGCATGGGCACCCTGACCAGTCTGCAGCTACGGAGCCCAGTATGCAACAAACTGTGATGGCCTGTGTGTTGTGACGCCTTTCTATCAGAACTAGCTTTAACTTTTTCACCAATTTGACCTACAGTGGCATGTCTGTTGGATTGGACAACACTGGCCTTTGCCACCCATGACTCTGTCGCCGGTTCACTGCTTTTCCTTCCTTGAACCACTTTTGATAGCTACTGACCACCACAGACCAGGAACACCCCACTACAGCTGTAGTTTTGGAGATGCTTTGACCCAGTTGTCTAGCCATCACATTTTGGCCCTCGTCAAAGTCACTCAGATCCTTATGCGTGCCATTTTTTCCTGCTTCCAACACATCAACTTTGAGGACAAAATGTTCACTTGCTGCCTGATATGTCCCACCCACTGACAGGTGCCATGATAACGAGATAATCACTGGTATTCACTTCACGTGTCAGTGTTCATAAAGTTATGGCTGATCGGAATATGTTTGTTCAGAAAATAGACATTGAGGATTAAAAGGCAAATATATATTTCATGATATTCATGCCCACAGTATACAAATTAATATATTTACAGGAACAGAACATCTCTGTTCTTGAGGGTAGCGTAGTAACACAAGCACAAATGTGCTGAAGAAAAAATTCCTGAGTTTAGTTCCTGGAGCTATTTTAAATATATCAGGCCCATGTAACCCTAGCAAGGAGCGGGGGGGTAATGACGTCCAAATATGGTCACTTCAAAACACCAAAGGGCACCGGTCATTATGCCAATCTCGAGGTTTCAAAATGGTAATTTGCAAACCAATGGGTGGTGTCACGGTGGCTACGTCCACTTCTCAGTCTATGGTTCGTTCATGCTATGTACTTGTCCATGTTCAAATAAAAATGACTTACAAAAGACAGTATAGAGATAATATAAATAATATAAATTCATCTCAGCAGTTCTCAGACATGCCAGCTTGCTCCTATTCAAACTGAGACAGACTTGTAACCCTTCACCATCTAAAGCCAATTTCAGACCCACAGTTCCTCAGTTTAATGAGACCAATGCTCTGGGAGAATGGGGGGGTTGGAGCAACAATACTGGCTACTTTGCTGCTGTACATCCTCATCCAGGAAATGTGGTGAATATATAAACGTATGTTATGTAACAGATAGCTTTGGCCAATCATATTGGTGCACTTGCACACAGCAGGTAAAGTAACTTGTAGCATGTATGTCGTGTAGCATGGTGCTAATTTACCATTTACCTTGTGAACAATTATTTCTCCTGTGATAACTTTCCAGGGCTGCACAGTCCTGCCTCACAACACTTCGAATTAGATGACCTGTTTTAATTTTACATTTCATCTGCTGTACCTTGTCCACGCCCAAGCAGCCCCTTTGCTTTGTTGTCCCTTCCTCTTGTTGGCTTAAAGGCACCTACATCCCAACAGTTTGATACAAAGACTCACACGACATGCCATGTGACTTCAGTGACTCTTGTGTGACGTCAGGGTGTGAAAAAACACAAACTTTAAAGGCTGGGAATTCACCACCACTTGCAAGTTAAGAAACCTTTTGGATAAGTAGCAACATGTTTCTGAATCTTATAATAAGTCCACTAGACTTTTGTTTATTGTTTGGACAGTTTCTGCTTCTGGGTTGTTCAAAATTTATTTTAATGCATAATAACTGTGGTCCTCCCCATGTGTGTGAAATCTGGGTGCATAACTGTTTACAGATCTCCGGTGAAGGCTATCACATTTCTAAATGGCTATACAAAATCTAAGGTAACTCCAAAGCAACTGTGTTATGTAACTTGCCATCGTCCCTCATTTCACGCATATTTCACATTATGTTTGCATTCCCCCTCAGCAGTAACCTGACACTCCTACACC